ATTTGCCCTTCTTCTCCTTTAGGATCTGCAAGTCCTCCTTGAGTTCTGGACAACCGTTCTTTGTGTGACCCAACTTTTCACAGTAATCGCACCTAACAGTGCTCATGTCTCTCAGCTGAGATCTTCTCCAAAGTTGGTCACTCTTCTTCTTCCTCTCTTTCTCAACACTCACAGCAGCTAGTAAATGACTGTCCCCGGAAGACTCTTCACCTCCCATCATCCTTTGACTCTCCTTCAAGGCAGTCGTCACCTCATCTAGTCGCAGTGTAGTCCTTCCTGCTATCATTGACTGCACAAACGGCTTAAAGGATTTTGGTAGTGAAGCCAGTAGAAGCAGCCCGTGCTCTTCATCCTTGATAGTCTCCCCTGCATTTAACAACCTTGATACTTGCTCATTAAACTTGTTGATGTGATCAATTATGCTACCTCCCTCTTCCATCTTCAGTGAGTACAAGCCCATCCTCATCATCAACTGGTTAGTAAGTGTCTTCAACGCAAACTTGCTCTCCAACGTTTCCCACAGCTTCTTTGGTGATGTCTCTTTCAGCACTGTCACTTTAATCTGTGGGGACAGTGCCAACCGAATTGTGCTGACAGCCTTTTTCTGGATTGTACTCCACTCTGATTCTTTCATATCACTTGGCTTCTCATCTTGCAATGCTAAATCAAGACCTTGCTGGACCAAATAGTCTTGAATCGTGCATTGCCACAACATGAAGTCCGCTCTTCCATCAAATAACGAAACTTCAAACTTCAAGGTAGTCATAGTTCCACTCAAGCAGCAATCAACTAATACCAAACAATCCAAATTTGAGGAAACTGGCCTCAAAAATGGAATCAGGACGTCAAAATTAGTCAGAACCAACTTCTCTCTGAAAGTCACCAGCGGGACCCACACGATGACTGGACCTACTGATGTGGCGCTGACTGGATGATGACCTGGCACTCGGACCCACAGACTGCTGACGTGGCACTCACGGACCCACCTCTGCTGACTGGACCACCACCACCTCCACTGAAGTGGCACGCCCTCCTCTTGCTCCTTGCTCTATCTCCTTCCTCCCTAGACTGCAACTCTGTAATTAATAATTCTTTTCTGATGTGGAAGATCAGTCAAAGCTGCAACCACAGAGCATACTAAGAATTATAATTACCAGATCACCCGAGCTCTGCACCTTGGCTCTGATACCACTTGTTAGGCCCCCACTGCAAATAAATGGAAAGAAAAGAAAAGAGAGCACACAAATTTTTAACGTGGTTCGGCACCTCAAGACCTACTCCACGACCCCCTCTAGGATAAATCTCACTAGTAATTTTTGCACAGAAAAATTACAAACCCTCTCCAATATTTGACACTCACAACCTAAAATCTAATACACAATTATATAGATTGAAGGATTGTGTTGTGTGATGGAAGCCTATATCTCCTCTTTATTTATAGGCTCCAATCCCTCCTCAATTTCCCTATCCCACCGATGTGGGACTTTGAAGTAACACTCAACAGATCCATAATAGGATTAATTAGGCTGAAAATTACTCCCCCCGTCCCATTTTATAACGCCTTTTTCAGTTTACGATGTTTGATTGAAATTATTTTCAAATCGTTTTATATAACAAATGATATATAGTTAAAAAATAAAAAAATACCTATTAAAATACTTCATCAAAAGATCTACAAAACTAGTAGTGACAATAGTACTTTATTTTATCAATTTACTAACGAAAATTGAGAAAGAAAGTGAATGAAATTTAACTATATGAATAGTGAACACGCATTATAATTTGAGACGGAAGGGGCATTTTTTATGGCACTGAGATGATTCTCTTCATGCGAGGTCATGTGTTTAATTTCCAGTAAAATTAAATAATTTTATGAAAAGATACTACACCGTAATCGAGTTATTAGTATTAAAAAAACTAAACGGCAACGAGATTCGAATTCATAACCTCTTAATGAGCAATTCTTTTTAAGATGACGAGAGGAAATGAGGGGGTGGGGAAAATTGAGAGAAAAGAAAATGGTGAAAAAAATGATGAGAAACAAGTGTTTGAATGGAAAGAAAATGATAAGAAAATTAAAAAAAATATAGGAAAAGATAAGGAAAAAGGGTTTTCTCATCCTTGATGAGAAATTTTTTTGCATGAATCCCACATACATTTTTTCTTTTCTCGCCTTTTTCTCTCATCCAAACATGAAAAATTGTGTTGAAAAATGCATTTTCTCAAATATTATGCCATCATACATACATTAAGTTCTCAATTCAAAACCCAGAGTATTCAGATGATCGAGATTCCTGGTATGCATAATTGAAATGAAAATTTAACTATGATAATCTAGTGCTTGGTCAATTAATTAGTCATTTTTAACCAAAGTTTGTCTCATAACCAATATAATGATGACGATGATGATCAGTTTAATTTGTCGGACGAGCTAACCACAAAGAGCTTAGAGCGCGAAGCCTCGCCATGTAGTCGCTCATGGCGAGGAGTGCCCGAGCCGCTTGCCGCGTCGTTAAGATTCGGTGCAGTTGGTGCAACGTTTGCTGCCTCAGTAGATCCGCCTAACGGTTAATTACCAAAATTCGAAACACGCACAAGTTTTAATTTAATCCGGATTAGTGGCAAAAAAATAATAATTAAAAACGTTAACGCCATAGATGACACTGTCTGTGAATTTGTCCAAGCACGGTCACACACGTGTTTGTACAAACTCACCACAGACGGTTGTCATCGGTGGTGTCAACCGTGGTGTGTTTTATCTGACAAAGTATAGACCTGGTAGAGGAAGTTTTCCACGGTGGCGAGCTTCCCCATTGCCACGGCCATTTGGTCCATGTAGTCGCCGAGAGAGGCGGACGACAGCGTCTCCACCAGCAGCTGCTGCAGCGCCTCCATTCCCTGTGACAGCGCCTCCTCCGCCTGCTGCGAAGACTGCTGCAACTTGCATAAACCCACCAGCTGTTGCTCTGTCAATGGCTCCAAATGGCTCCCCAGTATCTGAATTAAATAATCGATTGGTTTTAGTCTAAGGGTCTTATAACCTAATTGGAAAACGTCCACATTAGGGATGGACACGGTTTACTTCCGGGTCCCGAGATGTCAGATGTTGAACCTAAACCGGAACCGGTTGGTACAATCCCGGTCTCGATTTATTCCGGTCCTAAAACCTCCAAAATGTGACTATAATCGGAAACATTGTTTTGGGATCCAAACGTACCCTAAGAATCTCGGAGGAACGAAACCCGCCTAGCCACATAAAGCATCTCTCGGCGGGAGTCTTCCACATTCCCGAGAGCACGTGGAAAACATCCGACTTCACGCCAATGCGCTTTATCCGAAACAATTTGTCGTAATGTGACATCACACCATCGACGATATGGCGAAGCTCGTTGTCTCCAAAGAAAGAATTCACCGCCAATCTCAAGTCGGCGACGAGTCGTTGGTGCTCGTCAAGCCAGCTCCCATATTCCATGTCAAACGCCAAAGCGCCTGAAACGAAATGCACATTGAGTAAACAAATGTGAGGGTAATACACAATGATCTAAGTTGTGCTAACCATTTCCGACGGAAGAATGGCTCTTATCTCCAACCGAACCAGTTGCAAGTGTTCCCTGCATCAAAGGGACGATTTATTTAAACGTGTCAGAGTATAAAATCTTTTCTGAGCCGATTCGGGAGATTGACATAATAATGAAGAACCTGTTGGCGAGCTTGATTCAGTTCGTGCTCGAGTTTCGCAAGCCTTAGCCTACCATTCTCCAGCTCTTGAACATATGCCTATCAAATGAACACAAGACTTCATTATATGCGTAAACGATCATTTGAAATTTATTCAAAACTCTAACGCTAGTTACAAATGTTGTCTCAGTTTTTCGTCAATTTTTATTTCGACGACGAACCCAAATGAACAAAAAGAAATGTGGGATTCTCATGCATTACCTTCTTCCTCAATCGGCTTTTACGAGCAGCTTCTCTGTTCTGAGCGAGTCGACGAAGTGACTGCAGGGGAAAAAATGCAGAAGAAATTCATTAGTTTAAATACTCTATTTTTGTTTTGAGCATTTCTAAATCCACCCCATATTTGGCTATATCATAAACACTCTTTATTGTGTCAAATACACAAGTTTACATTTTAATGTTTGATATGGGGTAAGAAGGAAGTGAAAGGGTAAATGTGTCCATTTTTTATAAATGTAATAGATTTAGTCAATTAGGGTTTGGATTTAGCATTTATCATCCTTTTGTTTTTAGAAATTTTTATAAAATTGAAGATGAGAAGAGATATTTTCTCTATTCTTTTTCGTCCCTCCGTCCCAAATTAAATTGTATGTTTACTATTTATAATGTCAAACTTTAGTTAATTTAATTTGTTTCTCTATCTTCGTTAGTCATTTGAAAAAATAATATTATCATGTCACTATTAGTCTATTAGTTTTGTATATATCTTTTGATGTAGTTTTTAAATATGTAATTTTTATTTTTTAATCCTACACTGTTTTTCATATTAAATAATTTGAAAATAACTTCAGTCGAACATCATAAACCGAAACAGACGATTTAAATTGGGGCGGAGGGAGTAACAATCTGTTTCCCTTTTCATACTCAACTCTTTGACAAACAATGTCCCTTGAACTGTATTAGCAAAAAAAATTATAAAAATGAAATATTAAAAGTAATACTTTGAAACAAATATTATGACCTTATTCTTATATTTTAATTTATTTAAAATTGACACTCTCAAAGTAAGACATAAAAAACTTAAAATTGACAAATAAAAAAGAAAAGGAATAGAAGAGATGAAGAAAACTACCTTTTGCTCTCCAAGAAGTCTTCCTTTGGATTTCTCAATTGAATCCAAACCCATAACAGCAGCACCATGTGGGATGCAGAAACTCTTAACATAAAATTGAAAATTTTGCAGATTACTATCAAAATATTGTTAATATAATATTGTTAATTAAATTTCAATATCAATGGGGCAAAAGGTTAAATGTTGTCATTATTATGATGCAAGTTTCTCATCAATTAAATAAAAAAGGCATTGCATTTTAATAAAAAATAGTTTCGTTATTATATTCATTTTGCAAAATATTTTTAATAAATGTTCCGTCATATTAGTAGGTAATGTGAATTTTATTTAATTAGTGATTATATTGAAGTTAGTTTATTTTTGAAGAAAAATACAAGGAAACAAAATAGTATAATCATTTCACAATTATAGTTATAAAAAATATTACTATTGCTTATTAGTTACTCCTTCCGTCCCTAAATATTTGTCACACTTGTATTCCCGAGTTAAAATATCAAGCTTTTTCAATTTATTTTATTCACATATTGATATATAAATAAAAAATAAAATTTACGTATCAAAAAACTACATGAAAAGTTCTTCTAAATAAGAGGTGTCAAGAATATTTTATTTTATCAAATAACCAATGAAAATGGAGAAATAAACAAAAGTTTCTGCGACGGCTGAAAAAGCAAATGTTAAAAATATTTAGGGACGGAAGGAGTATCACATAAAACTTCTTTGGTTTCAATTAAGATGCATGAGTGTCTCTATTGGTCTTGGTGTGCATTTGGTGTAAAAATCTTGGGGGCCCCTAACATTTTTGCTAAATTAACTGTCTCATTTGGTTCTTTACATGTCAAATTTTTTCTTCTATCTTAATACTATATTTTTGGAAACCATTTGTTAAATTCTTTCTTCCTTCTTAATATATTTTAGGAGTAGTACATTTCTTTTGTTTTTAATATATAAAAAACAAATACTCCCTCCGTCCTTTAATGATCTTCCTGGTTCGCAAAACGAAGAAAAATCTCAAGTTTTTTCAATCTATTTTATTTAAATATTAGTATAGAAATAAAAAATAAAACATACATATTTAAAAACTACACCAAAAGTTCAACAAAGCAAGTGGTGACAAGAATATTTTATTTTATCATATAGGATATGAAAAAACACAAATAAATATAAATTCCCATGAAGTTGGAATAGTGCTCTGGGAAGATCATTATAGGACGGAGGGAGTATTATTTTAAAACTTTGTCCCAAATTGGATTACAATTTCCCATTTACAAGGTAAAATTCTGCATTTATTTAAAAATTGGTATAAGAACAATTAATAAAATTTACTACAAATGTATTAAAAATTACTTTGAAATTTCGACAAAACAATTGAAAACAAAAGAAATGTACTACTCCTAAAATATATTAAGAAAGATGAAAAAATTTAACAAATAATCGATAAAAATACACAAATAAACAAAAGTTATATATCGAGGTATAAATCTCAAGAAAATTGTAGTCTAATTTAGGACGGAGGAAGTAACCAATTAAAGGGAAAACTATTCCCTGCTTAATTAATTACCTGAACTTTCTCATCAGTGTCAACATCAGTCGAAGTGTCAGTGTGGTGGCTGTGCTCCGCCGTGGCAGAATCTCCCCAGTTCTCAAAATTATTCACGTTTCCCAATCCACTGTCCACCACCGCTGCGCCGCCACCCTGCACCGTGAACCTCCCTCCCTCCGCCACCACCGCCGTTTCCGATGACCCAATGCTCTGCATCATATTCACCCATCACAATTACAAGTCATAATTGGTGGGACACAAAATCCACATTTTGTTTTTAGATGTCCAAATTTTACTTTATTACGGTTACTTCATTTGATAACTTTTGTTTATTTACATATTTTTATTGAATACTTGATAAAGTAAACTATTTTTGTCGTCTCTTATTTTAGAAAATCTTTTTGATAGTTTTAAAATATGTAAATTATTTTTTTTACCCGTTTGTAAATAAAACAAATTTAAAAGTTAAGTGATTTCAAATAGTTTAAATCAAAATCTATTTAATTTCCATTTAACTTAATCCAATCCAAAATTAAAGGGGCCAGATGTAAAGAGAGATGGAGTACAAGAAAACGTACGGTGTTGATTTCACCAAAGTGATGCAAGCTATTAGGAGAGACAAGGGAGACATTGCTTTGTGTCATTCCATTATAAATTGAGCCTATCATCATTTTAACAAGCATTTCATTAGTATTTTTACATAAATAAACATATTATTTCCTACTCTGTCCTTAAAAGATTGCAACAATTTGATTTTTTACGACGAATTGTGACACCTTTTGGTGACAAATTAAATATATTTTAAAATAATTATATACAATAAGAGTTTGATATTCAAAATTATATTTTAAAATAAATCTAATTTTACTAAATTTACATTATAACTAAATATATTTTTTCTATAATTTACTGTCATGATCAAAAAAATTAAATTGTGGTAATTTTTTGGGGACAGAGGAAGTTTCAAAATCTATATACTACTACTTCTCTCTCTATTATAAATCTTTTCAACTTGATCTTTTATACTCCTTCCGTTCTAAAATGTAAGCAACATTTTTGAACGACGTGCAAAATATTGTCTCTTTTAAAATTATTTTATTTATAAATTGGTAAAAAAAATAAAAAGTAAAAAATTACACCGTTCAAAAACAGATCAAAAGTCCTACAAAACAAGGGGTGTACCCCAAATATACAACACATGCCTCTTTACCATTCATTTTTATTTATTTTTTTGAATTCTACATGCAATTTTTTGTGGTTAAGGAGGGGGTGAGGAATATTTGGGGTACACCAATAGCATTTTTCAAATATTGTGTTTTATCGAATGATCAACCAAAATGAGTAAGCAAATAAAAGTTAGACGGAAGTAATTGTGGTGTACATTGCGATATTCTTTTTTAGACGGAAGAAGTATAAACAAAAAAGTAATAGTGATGATCTTTCACAAACAAACAAAAAAAACATTTGGAAAAAATCTAATTACAGAAGCATTACTTTTTCACAACAGTATCTTTTAAAACATATTGGCAAAAAAATATTAATGATAATATATTTAAAGTAATTTTTTATTCCAATAATTTGGCATAAATTTAATACCAAATTACAACTAACACGTACTTGTCCTGCGACGTTAACTCTTTGTTTTTTTCAATAGATTTAGATAATGCGGTGTACATTGTACGGAGTAAGAGTTAAAATTTTATTTTACTTTTTACCGGGCCCACTTTAACGGGTTGCAAAATGTGCAACAATATTTTGTACGGCCCAATATTTAAAATAAGCATTTTTTTACTAAAATACTAAGATTTTCTTAATAAAAATAAGCATCTATATTTTTATACAAAAAATATAAAAAAAGCTTTTTTTATATGAGAAGCTCCACAAAAATCGTATGCACCCAAAGTGTACTATATAAGCACTCTTATTTGACCATTTACCTCTGAGTTTTAATAAAGTACATATTTGCTCTTGAATTTTCAAATATATAATTCTAATAAAGTTTATGTTTTACCCTACGAATATCACTTGATTTAAAGTCTTAAACCAAATATGAATAAAAAGAAAAAAATTATACGATTAGAACATGTAATTTGTGAAAAGTATAAAAAATAATGATGCATTCTTTAAAGTTCGGAGAAAAGCATACACTTTTTTAAAGAATTTGGGAGTAAAACACCCATTTTATAAAAATTACAGGGACAAACTTGCACTTTAATTTATGAAAAAATCAGAAGTAAATGATGTAAAAAAAACTCATTTTAAATTGAATAAATCTAGTTGTCCCTCAAAAATTGTACACCAAAATATACCCAAAGGTCTACACTTATATATTTTTTTTGTCAATGAAAGGCCATGTGTTATGACGGTTTTGACAGAGGCTTGACGGAGTGTAGAAATGTATGATGTGGAGAGATAAAAATATACTTCATATGTATGGTGAGGCTTGAAAGAAAAGCGTGACTAAAAAGTTATGAAGTGTGAAGATGTGAATTATTTTAATTGGTTGAAATAAATAAAAAAAGAAAGGTTAGGAGGCCACGGCAGGATGGCCCTCACGCAGGAAGGGGCCACGCCTGAAAAAAGGAAGCCCGTCATGGTGAATGGGGCGTGAAGAGGAGGTAGTATACCTAGCATGATTGTTTTAAATTTGCAAAACTAGTTTATTATGTTTTTTTAGAAGCAAGTTTTTTATGTATTCCGTATATAATTATATAAATATGGAATATATATACTCCGTATTCCGTTGTAAATCAAAGTTTGGCATTATTAATCATGAAAAAAAATCAAATTTAGCACCAATTTTAAAACAAAATTACTCCCCACAAAACCAAAAAAAGGCCTAAAATATGTTTTCACACCAAACCTTTAAAAAAATTATCATTTTCACAACCACCCTGCTAGTCTTCTATCTATTCTTTTTCTTTTTTTAAGAAAATAATTGTATGGACGATATTAGGATTACTTTGTGTTCCTTATTTTAAGAGTAATTTACCCAAACACGATTTAAACAGACTCGCTCCATTCAAAGATAATTTTCCTGTTCACTATTCACAAGGTCAAACTTTATTCATTTTCTTGGCCTATTTTCATTGTCCGTTAGAGAAACATAATATAGTCGTGTCACATTTAGTTTAGATTTTTTGATGTAGTTTTTTAATAAGTAATTCATATTTTTTTAATTTCACATCATTTTTTAGATTAATTGATTTAAAAATAATTCTAGTCAAACATCATAACTGCAACGGGTTGATAATTTTTGGACAGAAGGAGTATCACTTATCCCTAAATAAGACTAGTCGCATCTACTTTAATGTTTGACAATGAAAAGTTCTATAATGTTCTTTTTTTAGAAAATGACTTATGACACAATTCAATCAGATTAAGACATTATCAAAAACAATTTGAATCATCATTGAAATAATCAATCATTGTCAAACATTTGTTGTTGATAACCACATTCATGGAGTCATTATCCAACACTTGTTATTAATGAGAGCATATATGATGGCAGATCATGTGAAATTATGTGCCATAAAGAAAATAACATATTTGGTCCTATTTCGAGAAACATATTAGCATTTAGTCCTATAATAAGGAGCAAAATTTTCAATTTTCGTAAATCTCAATCACTCAATTAATTTTGTTTAAACTCTGCAATTAAAACCCAAAAAGAATTGATTTCGAGACAAAGAAACTAAGAAAGTATGTAAATGTTATGTATGGAGACTGGAGAGGGAGAGAATATTTACTTGTGCATAAATGGAGAGAATCTTCAACTTCATGGTGGTGAAAGCTTGGAGTGAAGTGGGAAACTTCTTCTATATCATTATTATCATCATTACTGTTATTATTCCCTCTACTTACAAAAAGAAAACATCAAATTATTCAAAGATTAAAACCAGAAAAGGCCCTGAAAAAAAAATGAAATGAAGAAAAAGAGGTAAAAATATGTAATTAACCTGAGGTAAAAAAGAGGGTTGCAGTAATTGTACATATCTGAAGATATGTGCCTCATTTCACTGTTTTCTCTTTCTCTCAGTAAAAAAAAAGGGCTGATTCCTCAGCTTGTGGAGAAGAAGAAGAAGAAAGAAAAGAAAAGAAAAAGTTTGGATTTTGGAATTGAATTTTGGAGTGTAAATCTAAAAGATATCTTTATGCAACAGAGAATTGAATTGATAGATATGATAGCATTTCAGAAAGGGTAAATTCGTTATTTAAAAAAACTGTCAGAGCTCTACCTCACTTTTATTCTCTACTTACTCCCTCCCTCGGGTTCCTAAAGTATGGTTACAATTCTCTTTTAAATTTATTAATCCCTTCGCCCCTAAATATTTGTCACATTTAAAATATCAAATTTTTTCAATTCATTTTATTTACATATTGGTATAGAAATAAACAATAAAATTTACATATCAAAAAACTACATGAAAAATCTTCAAAATAAGAGGCGTTAAGAAAATTTTATTTTATCAAACAACCAATGTAAACGTAGAAATAAACAAAAGTTCTCGCAACTGCTGAAAAAGCAAGCGTGGCAAATATTTTGGAACAGAGGGAGTATATTTATAAATAGGTATAGAAATAAAATTAGAAATATATATATATAGACACACACACACACATACATACATACTACGTATATGATAGAGCAATGGATTAATTATACTCCGTATTAGTTAATTCTTTATTTATAAATTTATTATTATTTTATTGGAAAATGTTAAAAACCCATCACCCTTGCTACCAACCATGCCTACCCTACAAAAACATGTGGTATGGAGGCAAGAAAATTAAAATTAGAGGGTGGGTGGAGAATGGGTAGAGATAAATATGTGGTGGAGAAGTGGGTGGAGACAAGGTTGGTAGCAAGGGTGGGGTGTGTAGCACGGTCCTATTTTATTATTAATCATGTTCAGAATTTGAGTTTGGGCCCATGAGCACTTTAGGTCAAGTAGGGTTACATTAGTTATGCCTTGGATTGATTAATTGGCATAGTTTTCAGAACCGGACTTGTGACCGAACCAGTCAAGGTACTGGTTCACTGGTCGAACCAGTGGTTCAACTGGTCGAACCGGTGGTTTAAACATATTTTAAAATTATATAAATATATATATGTGTGTGTGTGTACACACACATGCATATAGACACACACACATACATTCTCATTTATAAATACCTAAATACAGTAGTTTATAATATTTGACTAGAATTATATTAATATATTTGAGTTATTTTACTAAATTAAAAAAATAAACTTTACATATTAAAAAATAATATTAAAATTTTATAAAAAATAATATCAATGATTTAATATTTTAAAATTGAAAAGGAATTTGTATACAATCTTTTTATGAATTATGAAATATTATAAAAAATTATGCAAACTTGAAACAACAAGTTACTTTGCTTAGATGGTTAAGAATGGAAGCAAATGTCTTTAAGGTCTCGGGTTCAAACCCTCATGGAGTGAAGTTTTGGAAAAAAATCGCAAAAAAAAAACACTGGTCGGACCGGTCCGATCGGCCGGTTTTTATCGGTTCAAACCGGTTCGGACCGGTTCGAAGCACATTGCGGTCCAAAGGGCTGGACCGGACCGGTTGGACTACTGGTTTGCCGGTTCACGGTCCGAACCGGCCGGTCCGGTCCAGTTTTTAAAACTATGTTAATTGGCATATGTGTGGTAGGTTAATTGATGATTGGGAGTTTTTTGTTCAAAAGTTCAAGATTCGATTTGTTCTGATACATGATTTAGATTAGTGAAATTTGCACTAAATAGGACTAAAACATAATGATTTTCCTAATGTAGGACTTAAATTTTTTTATTCCCTAAATAGGACTTAATAATGACCTTGTGGGAGAAATAATATCCAGTAATGATAGACATTTACCTGAATAATGACTACTTGAAAATGACCAAAAGTCCTATATTGAGAAATAAAAACATATAGTCTTATATTGGGAAAGTCATTATGTTTTAGTCCTATTTATGTAAATTACTCTTTAGATTATACTCCCTCAATTTCTAGAAAAATTTTCTTTGATCAACGTGCACAATCTCGTAACTTTTAAAATTATTTTATTTACAAGTTGGGAAAAAAATAAAAAATAAAAATTTTACGAGTATATTTAAACGCTACATAAAAACTGTAGAAAAAAAGAAGTGATAAGAATATTTTATTTTATCAAATAATCAATGAAAACAATAAAAAATTATCGAGAGATCGTAACAATAAATATGTAATTCTTATAGGGACGCAGTGAGTATTTATTTTGAGAAGACACCGAAGAAGACTAGAGACACATTTGTCCACCTAATGGAAGATGCAACCACACTAGCTGCCCCGACTGAGGAATACACAGATAAATCAAAGGAATCAAGTGAGGAATCTCATATCAAGGAGGACGATGATTGCGGGTTTGATATTGTTGGCGATGTTGGTGGTTTTATTGATGAAGATGATTATGCTAATATATGGAGTAATATTTAGAGTGATGAGCCATCTTACAAGCTAGATTCTAAATCCTATAAAGTAATTTTTAAATCATTTTATATGAAAAAATTATGTGGAATTAAAAAAAATAAAAATTATATATAAAACCTACATCAAAAGATCTACAAAATTATATATGACAGGACTATATTATTTTATCAAATGAATATCAAAAATTGACCAATAAAGTAAACTAAGTTTGATATTATGAATAGTGGACATGAAGATTATTTTTGGACAGAGAAAGTATTACTCCTTTGTCCACCATAGATCTTCCTAGACACTATTCACAGGGTCAAACTTAATTCAATTTGTTTATTTATTTTTACTACTCATTTCATAAAATAATATAGTGTTGTGACATCTAGTTTTGTAGAACTTTTCATGTAGTTTATTATTACATAGATTTTATATTAAAATTTTACTTCTATATTCAAATAAATTGAGTTGAAAATAAAGTCGGACAAGCCTGCCTCGTAACGCGCAATGAGAAGATCTTAGGTGGACGGAGGGAGTATTTTATTACTTCGTGTTAATCATGTTTAGGATTTGAGTTTTGGCCCATGAGCCCATTAAATCAAGTTTGATTACTGTTGCTCTGTATATATTGTGATCCTTTCTCATTATTATTCAATCAATGAAGAATATCAAACCCTAATTTTCTTCCTCTTTTCTTGGGAGTTCGGAACCCTCGAAATTTTCCATCTTTCTCTGCCCTTTTGCTTTTTGGAGCATGAAGACCGTTCGAAGTTCTTCACTATCCGATACGATATTCGTATAATTACAAACTACTTCATCCGTCTAAAAATTATCTTCTCGTTTCGCGTTACGATATTTGACTAAGGTTATTTTCAAATCATTTTATATGAAAAATGGTATAGATTTTAAAAATAAAAATTATATGTTTAAAAATTACACCAAAAGATCTACAAAAATAGATGTGACATGATTATATTATTTTATCAAATAAGTAAAGAAAATAGGCTAACAAAGTGAATAAAGTTTAACCTGTGAATAGTGAACGGGAAGATAATTTTTGGACGGAGGGGGTACAATAAAAAAGGTGATAAGTTAATAATCAGCAAAAACACAAACAAAAATAAAAGTTATTGAAAGCGTTTAATAACAAAAAGAACGATAATTTAAGGATGGAAGAAATGTATTCATCCTTTTATAAAATAAAAAAACAATTTATTTTTATCCACTTTCATTTTGTAGGAATTCATTCATTTTTGGTAAATTAATACAACAATTTTCTTTGAAAATAAATAGAGAAAATTCAGATGTAAGTCAAATTTTAATTGTAAATTTATCTATTTAACATAACAAGAACTAGATTTAATTTTAAAAAATTTGTGGAAGAGCTACACGCCCGCAACCCTGTTTAAAATAGAGTACAGATATCGAGTAGTATTTTGGAAAACGTTTTCTTTTTGTATAAAAAAAGAAAATTACACTGGGGTACGTTCAATTTTCTAGTAATAACTCTGAACTCCCCCAAATTATCCGAAATATATTCTAAGGATCCTTAAAATTAGTGGTAATGTTTTTCAATGGTACATTTTGTTTATTTGGCCATTAGAATTAAAACTTTTGGTATTGTCATCGTTCTTTACTCTTGTCTAGAAAGTTGTCCCTTTTATTACCAAATGACCATGTGAATATTAAACAGACAATTTAATTTGGACAAAGGAGTAATGTGAAAAAAATATTATGAAATATCAATATATAATTAATGTCAAATAATCACAGTGCAAACTCATATATTAGATTAAAAATATAGAATTTTTATTTTAATACTTTATCAATATTTTAGTCTTATTTTAGGTGATTTCTTTTCTACCTTTTAAACTGTCTTTCAATTTTGTGATACTCACTTTCATATTTTGAAAACTTTTGTAAAACTGAAAAAGGAAGTTATTTGTGAGAAAGAGTATTTTGCTCTATTCCTTGAAAATGCTTACAGGGCTGAAAATTCCTATTGCCTCCCTGTCAAATTAGATTTTTTGTCATAATATTTGATTAAGAATAGAAAAAATTACTATTTGTACAGTAGTAAATCTCAGGTTGCTACTGTTCAAATTGCAATGTTTGAATGCCTCGAAGCCATAATATTTGACTAAGAATAAAAAAAAAATCATTCATGAAATGATGTGTGTTGTAATAAGGGTATCCACACTAGTAACATCTGCTATTAGATGTCTAAATGTGGACCCCACTTCAAAGATGTTATTCTAGCATCTCTCTTAACATCCAACTCCTCCAATGCTAAGCATCTCATTTAGATGTCTAAACATTTGTTTTATTACATATTTTAGTGTGTCCTACTTCCATATAAATAAAATAATCTTTTATTTTTATTTAAAAATTGGTATATAAATAAAAATAAAATTTATATATTTAAAAAGTACATTAAAAGTTCTATAAAACAAGATGTGACAAAATTATTTTATTTCATCAAATAATCTAGGAAAACACAAATAAACAAAAGTTTCTGCAATTTTTAAATAGTGTGTAAATATTTAGGTACGGAGCGAGTATTAAATAATTAAAGCTTTTATTAATACATTGCCAACAACACACCACAGTAATAAATGAAAAAAAACTATATTTTAAAACACTCAGTTGGTTTGTGTAATTATTTTAAAACACTTAATTGGTTTATATAATTATATTAAAACACTCAATACTCAATTGGTTTGTATAATTATATTAAAACACTCATATAGTCATACTGAATAGGAACTTAATTTTAAAAAAAAGTCATTGCAATTGGAACACGATAAAATTGCTAGCTAATTCTAAGAAAAAACTATCAATAAAAACCTTCTACATTAATTAAAAGAAACAAATAAATAATAAAAATGACACATGACACATTAACTATTGGAACACTATATTAAAGTAATTAAAGGAAGTAGTAATTTCAAGTTGGAACATCGGTGCTCAACCTAGCATCTTCCCCTCTCTCTCTTCATTGGGCATCTTTATTGAGCATCTACCTACAATGGTTGCATCTCTTAACATTTCATTCTCTCTCATCTAGGCATCTCACTTGAGCATCCCATTGGAGATGACCTAATGCCTTAGCAGAATGAACAGGTTGAACTCAAAGAATGTCTTATTCCTAATATTGCTTGGGTATATTGAATTAGAGTGTTAGACAATAAGGAGTATGAAAAAAACTCATTATATTGAATTAGAATTGGAAACAACAATTCAATAACCCGAACCGGAGCCGGACCAGTCGAACCGAAATTGGACCGGTATCTACACGGACTACACCATTTAAGGTTCTAATTCAAATTCTATATAAAACCCAAGAGTTGGACACTGCAGTTCCAAGACCAAGAGTATGAGCAAAGTAATCTACAAAACAAAATGGTTAAAAACTTTCACTAACAAGAAAAAGTCTCTCTTGGGAGGAGAATAATCAAAGAATGAACCAAACCAAATGAAAAAAATATAATCCAAACTCTCTTGGATTTGAATATTAGAATACTCACGGTAGTATTATTATGTGCCTGATTTATTTATAAAAAGCTTAATAGAAGAGGCATATTTCTAAAGAGAAGATTAATGTAGGTCAAGGGGAATGAACACAATGATCAAGAGAACTAAAAACAAACCAAGTGATTCCCATGAATGACACTCCTTGGAATTGCATAATAATTTGGACCGTGCTACAGTGCCCTCACCTTCGCCCCCACGCATAACAACGCAGACGATTTTATACCTGTACAAACCATCTATGAACAACACAGACGATTATTGTCTCTGCAGGTATAAAATCATCTGTGTTGTCACGCGTGGGGGCAGGGGTGGTGGGTTTCTAGCACTATTCTAATAATTTATCCTCAAAATCCATTTTTCCTATAACACAGTCAATAATGCCCACATATTTCACACAAAGAGAACCTTGGCTGTTTTCCAAATCATTTGGGAAGATACCTACTTAATTACCTACCTGTATCCTTATAATATCAACCTGCAGTGTGATGAAGAGAGGAATCAGTTCATAAAGCCGCTGGTGGGAATGTTTGGAAGTCCTTGTGACGAAACTTGCCCCCCCTGAGACATTAGCTGCGGTCGCCCGGGGCCTTGCATGTACACCTGCTGCTGTTGTTGGGGTGGTGGTTGCTGCTGCATTTGTTGTTGCTGCTGTAGTTGTTGTTGTTGGATGAGTGCTGGTGGCGGCTGTTGCATGTGGGAGAGCTGTTGCTGCTGGGGAATCTGAGAGAGCGTTTGCTGCTGCTGCTGCTGCAACTGTTGAAGCTGTGGGTGTTGTTGAGCTTGCATCTGTTGTTGCTGCTGTTGCGGGTTTGGGATCTGGGGTTTAAACACTACCATATCCTACATATATATAGCTAAAATCTCAACCAAGAGTGTATATAATGGCTAAAATTAGGACCTTAAGGGTCCTTTTGGAATATGGAAAATGAGAGTTTTATTTTTGGTGTGTGCGGGGTAATGGGTGGGGGGTGGGGGGATTTGCTAAAGACATTTTATTTATTTATTTCTGTTATATAGAGACTAAGAATTATACATATTATGACACAGCTTTATTTCAAAAATTAATAATGTCATATTTCATTTCCCATGGTCAAACAAGACAAAATTAACTTGACATTTTCTTTCTTTTAGCTGTCATTTTCCATTATGCAAATATACCCCAAAGAACTAGAGAAAATCTTACCCCTGGAAAAAGCATCCCAATCAAGCGGCAAGCTTTATCCGAAACAGAGAGCAATAGCGTCTGGGAGGGCAATTGAATGACTGCACACTAGAAAAAAGATTGTGTATTCTTTCATACCATATTAGTTAATATGACAAACATTTGATCAAGAGCCATTCAAGAAAAACAACATATCATCATTAAATTTATAGCGTCAAATAAAAAAAAGATTTTTGTAGTAAGGTTTGTTGATAAGAAATCTTAGTTGTAGGCTTGTAGCATGGGTAACATAATATCTACTACGGAGTATTATTTTACACTTAATTCATAGATTTTTATAATATTTACTACTTCGTGGTTGGGATTAGTACTGGTAAATACTAATGGAAACAACCTCTCTCGCTTTTACATGGGTAAGGTTGCATAAAATAACTAATGAACAATCTTGGTACAAATAAAACTAATGAACAATCAACTTTTTTTGCACCGGATATCTTTCGTATCACAACCTTCTTATTACAAAGAAAAAAACGATATGAATGCAAAATATTAAAGCACAAGAGGCACCGCCAAACCCAGAATTTTGCACTTCGGCACAACTTTTGGTTTGGCCTGATTACCTAAAGCTTTTTACAACATTGATTTGGCCAGAATTCTTCATTTCAAACTAGTTAAGTTTTAGTGAGTTATGCACAAATCAAACAGATAGTGACATCACAATATGCAATAATATAGCACTCTTTGTATACCGTGACAAGAGAATAAGATCTCTATAACATGCTTTTCATTTTAAAATGTTCTTATTTAGCCAAGCCTCAATCGAATACTTACAAGCTTCTTTTCTTGTAATTGACCTAGAAAACCATGCTGGTTCATTGCCCGAAAAACTAAAAAATCTGCCTTCCCAACATATTGCCTAGCATAAAATATAACAAAAATAGATAAAAATAAAGGTGAGCATTTATTGTGCAATACTCCCTCCATCCCACAAAGAACTCTACACTTTTCTTATTTGGATGTTTCAAAAAAAACTTCACAATTCTTTTTTAGTTTTTTTTATTCTTCAACTCAGTAAATTTGCTTTAAAGTTTAAAGGGTAGATATATGCGGCTCACAAAAAAATCTCTCATCCAAACAGATTCCAACAATACATTTTCACTTTTCTTAAAAAAACTCCGTGAAAACAATGTTCTTTGTGGGACAGAGGGAGTCTAAGACTATTTTTTAAGTGGTCTAAGAACATGCAGTAATTGAGATGAGAATAAAGTTACTTATTGCTCATATGATCCTGGGAAATAAGTCGTACAATTTGCATTGTTTCAGGCCAATTCGCTGCGAGCCTGAAAAAGAAAAAGGTTAAAAAAACTCAATTCACCTCATGTCAGCTTATGGTGGCAGAACAGGAAACAAAGTTAATAATAAGAGGCAGCAACAAGCTGTGAGGCTTATATCTCCAACAATAAATCCAAATAGTCATCACTCAAAAGGTTCCCGGTCATTGTTGATAAAAGTAGTTTCCAAAGAGATCCTCAGTGATTGTTAGTAAAGGATTCCATGAAAATTGTCAAGCTCCCCAGTCCCTGGTCCCCCGCATTATCTCATTCTTAATATTCACACTAATATGCATCTAGAACAAGACCAAATCCATCATAAAAAGGAGCTAGATGGTTTCCACTCTGGAGTGCAAATCAAATGAAACTTAGAAAGGCAGATGTCCCTATTTTCCATATTTGACAACACCCCAGCACGGTGTTGTCTTTTAAAACTCTATATTCAGCTGAATTTAAAAATGTAGTATACACTTACGTTTCTGATGATGACGCACTCCTATACCCCTGTCACAGGTAAATACATCATAAGTTCCACAAACAAGCAAAATAATATGCAGATCTTATGAAATCGGTTATTATTCACGAAATCCATATTATTATAAAACATACATAAATTTACAGGTTGAGTGGAGAGATACCTCTAGCTTAGTAATGAACACAGGCTGACCTTGTCGCTGCCCAGATAAGTGCCCCTGCAAGATAAAATAAAACCAATATTTTAGAAGACAGTACCTATCAATCACATCCATACGAAGGTTGCAACACGAAGTGCGTCCAACGTAAAACTATTGCAACTAGGTTTTTTTCACTCATAAAATTAGATTATTAAACTGTTAACTACTTTAGACAAATACTACGTAATTGGCAAAAAAGAGCATTTTTGTGAATGACCGAACGTAATTCTTGTCTTGATTCATGTAATTGATCCCAAGTTACTTTGGATAGGGCATACTTGGTGGTGGTGGTGTAATTGACACAGGTAATATCAAGCCACCTATCCCAGCCATCCTGGTGCTCGCAAATACTGTTGCACAGAGCAGTGAAATATCATAGTTCTATAAAGTACTCCATCTGTCCCAAAAAAAAGAGTCTTGTTTGAGTAAGGTACAACTTTTAAGTTTTTAGTATACTCGATCAAGGTACAAGCTTTTACAAGTAATGAATGGTGACTTGTACCCGGAAAACTTAATTCCAAGATTGTTTGGAGTAATTGACAAAAACCACTTGGCAAGCAGCTTCAGAAAAAAATATCTCTTCAAAACGGATTTATTTTTTAAACAAAACACTTCTAGACAAACAAATGTTCTTAAATATGCCTCCACTTTGGGACCGAGGGAGTCTACAAGAATGAAAAATAGAAGGCATGGTGACCAATATTGCATAATTCTAAGAAACTTGAATGGTTGAACCCTTAAAGTTCTTTATATAATTTCCAAAATATGATCACTTATCATTGAATGTATAAAGCAACCCACCTCCCAGACTTTCACATATTTTGATTGGGATGATTGCATTTGACTAGATGCTTGCTGTTGAGGAAGAGACATAGTCACTGCTGAATTGCTATTTACAACAAGTTGTTGCTGCATCCCCGTTTGCACTTGTTGACTCATTCCCGGAGTAGAAACCATCATTGTACCAGCAGTACCAGAAGGCACAGCAGTCATACTCTGCTGACTCCTGCTCATTGCGATTTGCATTGCCATGTTTGTTTGATTCATGCCAGCTACTGTTTGACCCATAGTACCGCTGCCCGGAAGAGCATTATTATTCAATGGCTGTGACATGGCTGGATTTGGGGATGCTGATGTGGCATATGATGTTGAAGTGAATGGTGCGAGAGGAGCAGAGCTCGGACCAGTGGGTCCTGATGATGTCACACCTGATTGTGCGTTTGACATTATGCTTTGAACTGCAGAGACGGAGGATGCCATCCCGTTGGATATCATGTTTGAGAGCATAGGGGTTCCCCCACCAATGGATGTTCCCCCGGAAAATGCTTGTCGTGCTTGGGCAACAGCAACATCATTCAGGATTCTAACATTGGCGGCTGCAGCACCAGGTGGACGTACAGGCTGTGACAATCCATGAACGACCATTGGCTTAGTATCCTGCAGAGTTTCATTGTTTTCCTGGGAAACAGAAATAGGCGAAGGAGCTTGAAGGTTTGGAATAGGTTGCGAGGGAGCACGAGGAGCTGATGGAGCATGTGGAAATGTGGGCCCGGGCATGGAGGTTACAGTTGTGGGCTCCTGAAAATATATGTAATAAGATTATAGAGGTAAAAAAAGAAAATCCCTCTTTCAAAGTACTAACAATTGACTGTTAAGAGTTTTACAATTTTAACAATGGCAGAAGGAACGTTTCCAGTTGGAATTGGTTGCCAGTTCGTGACAGGAACATTTGCTGTAACAGAAAAAAAACTCAATGCTTTAGTAGTTCTACAAGAAAATATTAGAGAGAATATTTTCATGAATTTGGGTCAGAATAATGTCAAATAAAATATAAATAAAAAATGCATGAGCATTATATAGAATAGAGAGTAAGTTAAAAAAACAAACCTGAAGGGATTGAAGTAGGTGGTCCTGAAACAGGAAGAACAGGAGGCACATCCATTTTAACAGGGTTTTGATTTAATTGCAAACTTGGCATTCCAGTGTGATTGAAAGCAGCACGAGCCTCCATAAAGTTTTCCGATATTAGAACAAGATGATATGGATTCTTCGGATTGTCGATGGGCAAGTCTGCTCCTTGTGGATTACATTTTGCCTAGGTCAAAGTAGTGTTTTGCTTGTCATATATAGTCTATTTAAAATAAAAGCAGACCAGTGAAACAAATGAAGAATCAAATTCCTCCACATATGGCCCCACAAGCTCTAGAAAATACGGAGTAACTCATTTAAAGATTAAAGATTAAAATTTTTAAATGAAGTTATATTCCAATGTATTCATATTTATGTTGAGAGTTGTGATAGTATCCATTAGAATGCAATCCAAGGTCAGAAAATTATGCAGTGCAGTTATGTGTAGCTGAATTGGAATGGGGAATTAATGGAATCAAGGAAGGCATCTTGAGCTCAGGAAGGTAACCATCTAATGCCGTGTTCATTTCATGTAAAATGAAAGGGGAATATGGTAGAAGAAAAATAGGAGATGACGCACCTCAAAAACTTTCATAATTTTTTACATTTTCGCTACTAACAAGTTCTAACTATTTTTTTCTTACTTATATTAATCATTTGTTATAATAAAATAGTCATGTCACATTTTGTTTTATAGAACTCCTTTTGCTGTTATTTTTTTAAAAGTAAACTTTATTTTGACTTTAACACTTGTATTCAAATAAATTGAATTACAAATAATTTTGTTCAAACATAAACAAAATTGCATTTTTTAGGGGCGGGGGGAATAATATGCAAGTAAAATGGTTTTTCAAGGAAACACTTTATGCACAACTTAATAAGAAAATATCATAATATGACAGCCAGTTTATAGCTTTATGCATAAAACAAACTATAAAAATTCAGAGCTACTCTTGCTACATAGTAATTGGAAGCATATGTGAACAATAGCCCGACATAATAGGCAACCAATAAGCTAATAAAATGGCTATAATATTTTACAGTGGAATGTTCATTTATTTGTTAGGCTACCGATGCATCATGCAATAATCTAAAAAATCTGGCAAGGACAGATCCATGAATGTTACATAGTAATCAGAAACATAAACGAGCTATGCGCCTATGCCTTGTATCAAATTCTTGAAAAACTGTTTCAAATAAGTGAGCAATGAGCTGATAGAAGGTTGCTGTAGTCATAGGCTTACCGCAGCATAGATTGTTTTGAGTTTCAAGACCTGCCTTGGACATACAACTGATAGAGAAACAGAACACTGTAAAAGATAATAAATTGACAACAAAATTAAAGAAATACAAAAAGTTCAGCAGAA